TTGGAAGTTCCACTCCAAAAAATGCCTTGAGACTGGGCGCAGTGGCTCATGCCTGTAATCCCAGCACTTTGGGAGGCTGAGGCAGGCTGATCACCTGAGGTCAGGAGTTCAAGGCTAGCCTGACCAACATGGTGAAACCTCCCCTCTCTACTAAAAATACAAAAATTAGCCAGGCATGGTGGTGATGACCTGTAATCCCAGCTACTTTGGAGGCTGAGGCGGGATATTCACTTTCACTTGAACCCAGGAGGTGGCAGTTGCAGTGAGCCGAGATCATGCCACTGTACTCCGGCCTGGGTGATGAGGGAAATTCCATCTCAAAAAACTTAATTAAAAAGCCTTGATTTCTAGAAAAAAAAATTAGCTTCTTGGAAGTTCCCATAGTGTCTTCGTTCAAGAACAAACAATATGGTAATTTTATTTTAATAAATATCCGGAAATCTCAGATAACCTCTTACTTCTTTTAGTCCACGACAGAATCGCTCAAATACTCGTTTCATATTGCCTCCTTTTTCCATTGAGATTACCCTGGTGTGATCCTCCTCATTTATCCAGATGAGAAATGTCTTATCATAATTATGCCTAATGAAGAGAGAAATATGGCACTGAGTGTTAATTGCATTTGTTTCAACATATGAAAACTCCCATTACCTCCCTAGCTTGATTGCTTCATTTCACCTTCCTCATTTCCTAGATGGCCCTAATCTCTTAACTGTGCCTGAACAAGTATGACAAAATAATGTTACTTTGACAGAAGGAAGATTAAGACCAACTCTTACCCTTAAAGATGTCATGTTTTTACCAAACAAGAATATAATTTCCCCTAGGTCCTCTGACTAGGATGACGGTAATTCAACTGCATAACATTTGGCTTTGACACAAGAATGTTTTGTCTCCTAAATGATTCAACCAAAATCTTGTGCTTTAAAAAGGAGATAAAAGGAGATAGGGGTTACCTTCCACCCAAGATGTTAAAGGTATGCAGCATTTCACAGGTTTGCTGCATAGATCCTGCCTGTCCATCCCTACAGAGCAGCTGCATATGAACACTTTAATTTCTGCTCCTTCAGGTACACTCATATATAGCCTGTCAGGGTGCAGGAGGCAAAGTGGGCTGAGGACTGTTGGCCAACATAAAACGTGTGTGCACTAGATATCAGTTATTTTAGGGTTTTTCTTAAATCCTCAATATTTTTTATGTTTTGCTCTTTTAATGTTATGAAACAGATTATCTGTGAGGTCAAATAATATGAAGTAAATTTTTTCTTAAAAGCCAGCCTTTTTTCTCATGCATATCATGCAAACCAGGTCATATTTCACACATCTTAGAAACATCACAATACTTAGATACACACACACACACACACACACACAATTTCCAAGTAGTCTTTTTTGTTTAGCTCATCTGGGCATGCTGTCAGCTACAGTACACAGAAACTCCAGGTTAGGATAAGCAGGTGGTCTCAAAGAGATCCTCTGCAGATATTGCAAATGCGAAAATGCTGCATCCATACCAGATTCCCCTGGCATCTGGCCAGTCACGGGCCATCCCAGCACATGTTAATAAAGGGGACACTGGCTTATCAAACAGAAAGTGGTCCTGTAGGCCAAAAGGGATAAAGCAGAGAAGAGAGACTGATGAGATCAAACAGGACTGCAAGTGCCAGGTAAACAAGTTCCAACTCACTTATCATGGCTGCTGTCTCTTAGCAGTGGTTCCTAGCTTTGGCTGCCCACTAGAATCACCTGGTAGCTTCAAACAATGCCTACTTCCCATCCCCCAGAGATTCTGACCTAGCTGTTATAGACTGGTCTGGGCATCAGGACTTTTTAAAAACTCTTCAGGTGATTGTAGTGTGCAGCTCATGTTGGAAAACACTGGGTTAGTCCATATGGAACTCATTACATCATTGTGGAGTGGGTATACACTACCAATGCCAACCCTATGCAGTGGCTGAGTGAGCAATGAATGAGGGATACTATCCTGAAAAGGCTGTTCCACACAGTGGTCATTCTGTTTCTAGCATTATTATTATTTATTTCATTAAAAAGTATTAGAGATGTACAATAATGATCAATAAATAAAAATAGTTACCATTAATGCTGACTGTGCCAGGCTCTAGATTACAGGCTTTTATTTCCTTTAATCTTCACAACTCTATGAAATAAGTGTAATTATTCTATTTTATAAATGAAGAAAACAGATTCACAGAGATCAAACAACCTGTCCAATAGGATGGTTGTAGGAAGTAGCAGAGTATAGATTCAAATCTAGACTTCTGTGACTCCCAAGCCTGTGCCTTTAACCACTGCAGTATACTACTCCACATATCAAAATCAAAGTCAAGACTAACTTTTTTTTGCAATGTGTATACTATTTCTTGCATAGCTACACATGTACTCTACAGTGAGATATATTCAAATATGATTACACTGAGGTAAGAAACCAAGTGGATGTGGGGAGAGGAGTCCTATAGTCTCTAAGTGGGAGAGATCAGAGACTTCAGCCAGGAGAGGACTGTGACCTGCCACTGCCCAGGGAGCACCATGTCCCTTAAGCAGGAAACCAGAGTGGCTACTTGAGGTAGAGGGGGGCTTGTTCTGTAACTGGGCAGGAAAATAGTTGGCCTGGTGGCCACAGAGACGAGGAGACTAAGGCCCATAGGCCATATAGTTGGCCTCTCTGGTTTGGAAATGAGGCATATTTCTTAGCATTTGCATCTTTTGAAATAAAAAAAAGCAGAAACAAAATTTTGTTAAGAGTTAAAAGTTACTTTTGAAAATGCTATCTTGTTTTAGCTCTGCTAAGATGAAAATAAGTAAGGGACTTGAGTTTTGTGCACCCTGGTGCCAGAGGGAAGCTGTGGTGGACATGGTGGAAGCAACAGGAATCAACCCCACCAGGAGATGCAGAGGCTGACTCCACAAGAGTCAGGGCAGGCCTCCCACCTGGAATTTCCTTTCTAGATTTTCCTGGCTTCCAGAATTTTCTTTGGCTGTGATAATGGAAACCATCTTCTGGCACAGACAGGACTTCCACACCTAACTGTTCCCATTGTTATCAACTGTTATCAACAAGCTAGGAGATCCTCCATTCATCTCCACCCTCCTATCTGTAGGCACCATCTCCATATTGGAGTTTCCTATGCAGATTTTATCCATAGAATATTTCAGTGTTTGACAAGTACAATGTATGGCCTCATCTTTCTTCCTTATACTGAACAAGTAGATGCTCTTGGGCTGAGCCCAGGGGTGGAGCCCCGCAAGCTCCTGGCCAGGGTAAGGGTTTGAGCAGAGCACCAGGAGAGGCCTTCACTGTGCAGGTCAGAGCCTTTGGTCCAGTTCCTCTCCAGGGAGCCCCATCTGCTACTCACATCGATGAGCCGCTGCTGATCCTGCTCCGTCATCTCGGACAGCTTGTAGTAGCGGCCAGCCAGGTCCCCCTTGAGGCCCTCCAGGGCGGTGATGGCCACGTTCTCCACCTCCCTCCGCTCGGCCCGGGTGCAGGCGGGCGGCAGGCTCAGCCCACGGATGCTGCGGCCGGTGCGCACCCGAGAAGACAGCACATAACGCTCATCGAACTGCCCTTGGGTGATCTGCCAAGCAGAGTGTGGGGTCACTGCGGCCAGCCTCAGACCACGGTCCTGCCACAGCCACAGTGGGTTCTAATCTGCTGATCCGCAGTTTCCCTGGGGACCCTCAGGCACTGTGCACGACTGCACAATCCATAAGTTGGATACCTTCCGGAAGTCTTGGGGCAGGGGCCTTTGACTAGTAAAGAGGAAAGCTGTTTTAAATGGTGTGGTCTGGGGTCCTTGAACGTCACTGGGTGGTTTGGGATGACAAAGGGAGTAGCTTTAGGAAAGGTTTAAAGTTCCCAATTACCAACCCTTCCCTGGTTGTATTTATTTAAAAAAACAAAGACTTTGGGACCTTCCTAACCTTCTCTGTGGCCCTCCAGGGGGAAGGCTGTGCCAGGGCAGTCAGTGCTTTCCAGGGGTATCTGACTCAGAAACTCAGGGTTTCCGGGGAACCCCTCTCTCCAGGGCTCTTCCCCTTGGGCTCTGGAGTGCCAGCTTCGTGGGGAGGGAGAGGGAGGCTGGAGCTTACCTTGGATGCGTCCAGATCCGTTGTGTGCTTCATCACTCTGGGGTCGTAGCCATTGTGTCTTAGTTTGATGACGGGGTCAAAAAGGTCAGCAAACACCTGCAGGAGGGAAGATGGGCATTTCCTCTTTAATTGGTTCACCTACTATTCAAAGACCTTTCCATTCACTTGCCCCTTCTATCTTAAAAGCCAAAGTTGATGCCCTCCTCTGAAATTCTCAGGACTATCATGTAGGAAATGAATGTGAGAATGGATTGGTTAATAATAATAATAACAAGAGAGAAAGCCTTTTGGAGGCATCTTGCCCCTTGAGACAGGGTGGAGCTGGTGAGTTCTGTTATCTTAGCCTCCCCCGAGTGATTCTACCAAAATCACTGCCATCAGACTGAGCAAGAAAATTCTTATGGTTAGGAATTTAAGGAGTTTCCTAGACATGTTTGCCTTTGTGGGTTACAAGAAGCTACCTGATCAGAGGCTACACAGTTTTATGCTTAAGGGAAAGTCAGATTCTAAAGATTAAGCTGCATATGAAATCTGTTGAAAACCTGGCTATGCCAGAAGAAAAGTACATAGCAGCAGTTCGGGCAAAGCAGGGACCTCTCACCCCGTGCGGACCTTCCCCAGCCCAAACCATCTCGTACAAAATCTATTCTATAAACAAAACCTCAGGCATATCCTTTACGTTTAAAAAAAAAAAATGTTAAAAGAAGTTGTAACAAAGCACCCTGCAGACTTTGGGAGCTGTGGGAGGTGGGGAGGGCTTTGGGTCCATAGAGCTACCGCTAGCTTGGGACCCAAACTAGACCCAGGGTTGTGCACTGCTGTACGTAAATGAGCCACCAGTCGTGTTTATTCAAGATGGCTCCCTCTCTTCTCTATGGCTGCCTTTCTAGGGAACTGCCTTCAGCTCCCTGCAACAGAAGAACCCAAACAGAAGAACCCAAAAGGGTGGACCTGAAGGAGGAGGGCTGCAGGCATTTGCCTCAGCCAAGAGGCTGCTCTGTGGAGGGGACGCATGGTAGCTGAGCACTGTTCCAGCCAACCACCCTGTGCTTCAGCATTGAGGATGAGGATGCCAAGGTCATGGGATTTATCCAAGAGTCTTGGTGAATTCAGTAGTCTGGGCTACAGTGATTGTCTAATCAGTAATAGGAGAGAATTCAATAATAGAAGTAATAAGAAGAGAATTCCTCATATAATAGAAGCAATAAGAGAATTCCTCATGTTCCTAAAGGTACACTGAACCCTCCTCCCGACCCCCACCCAATAAAGCTCAGCCACAAACACATCAGCTCCTAATGTCTTACTGGTGAATACACACCATTTGATATTATTGTTTCTGTACCAACTCATCCCCTCGACAAGCTCAGAGTTCTGTCATGCAATTCATTCCTCCACAGGGAGGGATCTTAGCACAGCAGCAAGGGAAGCCTTGTCCCTGGGAAGCTATAGACCTCATTGTTTCTGAAAGCATTCCAGATGGTTCTGCTGGAGTTGGCTTCCCTTTATGGGAGCCCTTCCTGAGAAGGTAGAAAGTTGGCCCCATAAAGAAGAAAAGGACCCCAGGACTGTGCAATTCAGTCATATGCAGAGTATCCCTCCCACCCTGGAACCAGCAGCCAGTAGTTTTACCTCATAGGACTCCTCGTCACCAGCCACCATGCCCACAGTCTTTATGAAGGGGTGGCCAGGGTTGTCCACTCCAGTCTGGATGCACTGGTCCAGGGTGTAGCCGTTGGGCGTCACCTTGTTGCGAAGCTTGGCATAGATGGCAGGGGTGAGGCACTCAGCCATGCAGTTGTTGTGCTTGCGCAGGTCTGGGTAGTCTGCGCTGTGTGGGGAGGAGGGCAAGCTGTCAGCCAGCAGCCCCTGAGGAAAGGGGCCAATGGAAGGACTTGGTGTTTGCCTATCCTTCCACTAGGCTCCCTTCAGCCAGCAGGCACAGGGATACTTGGCTAGAACTGCCCAGGAGTCATACATGAAGACACCAGGTTTCAAAAAATGAGCAGGTTCCACAAGAGCAAGGACTTGCCTTTTTGAGAACAGTCCCTGGCTATTGAAACCAGTGTTCAGTAAATATCTTCTGGAATAACAGAAATCAAATTGGGTGCTGTCTCACCCTGGGGTGTGTACTGATTGAGGATTAGGAGATTCAGGACCACCACAGCCTTAAACACGGGTCATGTCACCTCAGGAATTCCCCAGGTACATGGTGGTTGCTGGCGATTCCCTCAGAGATCCTGATTTCCATAAGAGACAGTAAATGTCTCTTAAGAGACACCTCAGTGGTTTTCCTCGTCTCTCATCCATACCTGCCGATGTGGAATTCTGCATGCCACTCAAACTCTGCTCAGCGCACAGTATCTCATGCATGGCAGGGTTCCAAGGGCTGAGAAAACACGTCTATTTTCATCACTCTCACGCCACTCCTCCACTTTCCATCTGCAATGTCCTTTAGAGCTGACACTTACAGTCAGTACTACGATATCCCTTTTTTCCAGAAGGAGGTAGAGCAGTGAGAGAGGCATGGGTCTGGAACTGGGGGGCCTGGATTTGCATTTGGCTGCACTAGCTATGTGAACTTGGGCACTGTTTAATTTTTCTAGGACTTCATTTCATCACCAAAGGATCCTAAGATGAATAAGATACTCCATGTAAAGTGCTGGTCATACATGAAAGTGCTCCACAAATGTTAACTATCCCCATTATTACTATTTAACTGGACTGCAAGCTCTAAGCAAGAATGGTGATGCTACACTTCTTTGTATACACCACAGGTTACTGGTTTAACAAGCCTCAAAATGATTTTCCGTTTTACTTAGTCTTCCTCAAAAGCAAAAAGGACCCTTGCTAACAGTTTCCAGCAGGGGAAGGCATATTTCTTGCTGGTCTTTGAAGCTTTTCTGTTTGTTTTTGTTTGTGTTTGTTTTGTTTGAGACGGAATCTTGCTCTGTCGCCAGGTTGGAGTGCAGTGGTGCTATCTCGGCTCACTACAACCTCCGCCTCCCAGGTTCAAACGCTTCTCCTGCCTCAGGCTCCCGAGTAGCTGGGACTACAGGCGTGCGCCACTACGCCCAGCTAATTTTTTTGTATTTTTAGTAGAGATGGGGTTTCACCATGTTGGCCAGGATGGTCTCAATCTCTTGACCTCTTGATCCGGCCTCCCAAAGTGCTAGGATTACATGCATGAGCCACCGCGCCCAGCCTGAAGTTATTTTAAAGTCAGGAGCCCTTACCTTGGAGGGAATAACCTGGGCTGCTCCCGGATCTCGGCACACACTTTCTGCCGGTTCAGCAGGTACCCGGTGGTCAGGGCACTGGTGCCCATGGTAGCAAACAGCAGAGAAGCATTGCGGCCAGTTAGCAACTTAGAAAAGATACTGGCCATCTTTCTTCTTGGATGAGTGTCTGGAAAGCAGAGAAGCTGGATTAGATAGCTGCATAGGATGACCCTGAGCCACAGCATAGAGGTCAACAGGCAAGAGAACCGCAGGAGCCATAGCCTCTCTTTCCGGTTTTTCTCTCTCTCTCTCTCTGTCTCTCTCTCTCTCTCTCTCTCTCTCTCTGTGTGTGTGTGTGTGTGTGTGTGTGTGTGTTTTCTATTTCTTGCTTTGCTTTTTTCTTCATATTGCTTGGGAAAATCTGGGTAGTTTTAGACATTAATGTCTAAACTTCCTTAACGCCATGCCTTCTCTCTGTTAATATGATAAAAAATAACAGCAGAGGATGTCTTCTTCCAGCTATTTGACAGACCAGGTGCTCTTTTGAACTTCGCCACTGCATCACAACTAGACCCTGAACAGGATGGATTTCTGGACTTCTGAAAGGTAGGAGAAATTTCTGAGGACCACCCTGGAATAGGGGCTGACACTGGGATTCTCCCATTGAAGTAGGACCTTTGAAAGAGGCTGAAGTGGCACAAAGTCAGCAGACCCCAACTTCTGGCTCCTGCCTGAAGCAAGTCTAAAAGCTCTCTGAGGAAATTATATTCAGTTTAGGCCCTGAATTCCTACACATTAAGATGAAACAACTCCCAAAGATCGCCAAACACACAAGGAGGTACAATGAATGAGAGTCAACAGAAGAAATAGCAGATGTAGACTGCTAATGACTGAAGATGCTGGAACTGTCAGACAGTAATATCAGTAAGCCCTATATTGAATGTTTAAAGTGTGGAATCATAGTTATGAGCAAGCAACAAGAGACTGTTAAGAATGACCAAGTTGATTTGAAAGAACCAAATTGCACCACTCATCATGATGCAGCTGAACACAGAATGAACTGGAAGATATATATCTTAAGAAATTACTCAGAATGTAGCACAGAGAAATGAGAAAATGGAAAATAGATGTAAATTAAGAGAGATGATGGATAGAATGTCAAGCTCAAATACACATCAAAGTGAAGTCCCAGAAAGAGAAAACAGAGAAGTCAGATTTGAAGAGGAATGGCTGAGACATTTTTAAAACTGATAAAAGAATCCATGATTCAAGAGGTATAACATAATCTAAGCAAACAAAAAAGACATTGACACCTAGACAAATAATGAAACTGCAGAATATTGGTGACAAAGACGTGAAAAGCAATCAGAAAAGACAGTTTACCTACAAAGAAATGACAAACGAGCTGATTTTTTGATAATAGCCCAGGTAAGTAATATTTTTAGAAGCAATAACTGTCAACCTAGAACTGGGGAACTAGTCTAACCATTTTTTCAAAAATGAGAGTAAAAAAAAATTGATAAAAAACAGATCAATAACAAAGGAATTACTAAACTATATGCTTCAGAAAGAAAGGAAATGACAGCATGAGGAGAGAGCCTGAAATGCAGAAAATGGAGAAAACACATATAAATGTAAATAAGTATTTATATATTTATAATATAAGTACTGAACTACCAACAAATGAAAAAGGATAAACATGCACAGACATTAGAAGGGCCAGTTAGCCCCAAGCAGGGAGCTGTGTTACGTGTCTCTTTGAGTAGAAAACAAAAGAGCAGGTAGTTCTCAGTACTCTCTATTTGATCTCCATGATGCCCAAATAAAGATTGTGTGGGCTCAGGATGGTGGCTCATACATGTAATCCCAGCACTGGGAGGCAAAGGTGGGCAGATCACTTGAGGCCAGGAGTTTGAGACCAGCCTGGCCAACATTGTTTGCTGTCTTTTAGTAGAGACAGCAAAACCCTGTCTCTACTAAAAATACAAAAAGTTAGCTGAATGTGGTGGCACGCACCTGTAGTCTCAGCTACTCAGAAGGCTAAGGCATGAGAATCATGACTTGATTGAGCCTCTGTGTTCAATCAGTTCCTCCTTGTTCAAGCCTCCGTGGCTTGAACCCAGGAGGTGGAGGTTGCAGTGATCCGAGATTGTACCACTGCAATCCAACCTGGATGACACAGCGAAACTGTCTCAAAAAATAAATAAATAAATAAAAAAGTGTGGATTTCCTTAACATTTGGAAGGCTCCCAAGACTCAGCTGCAAGATGCTCCAAGCTTAGATGGATTGATTGCTTCAGAGAACTTGCTGATGTGTAAGGCTGTAGCTGAAAACCTGGGCCATCCAGTGAGGGATAAACAACAACTCGTAATAGAACCTTCATTTGGAAGTCTCTACTAAACCTGAATGTCCCAACTAAAAGCATCAAAGACCTTAAAAACATTTAAGAATGTTTATGTGTGCAAATAACAAATCAAGCCTTTTCTGAGTAGGGGTTACAGGATATGGGTTACAGGATAGCCCAGGAAATCAGATTATTGGTTCCTCTTCCATGCTAATATCTGCAAACAATTCTTTCAATTCTAAAGCCAATTTCAATTATAAAGTAAGTTACTACGAGCACACAAGATAAATTGGTCATTTCTTGAAGTTGTCCTGGGGACTGGTAAAGACCAGCATTCAATCTCATCATGTAAACTTCTTTGCTCCCGTACTAGAGTTCAGGTCCTCATGTCAGTATCCCTCCAAGAATAGATAATGGCTCTTCAATGAGCTGCACCAGTGCTTCCTGGTCCTTGCCTACAGCAGGCAACACTAGCATACATCCTTTTGGGCTATCTTATCTGCCATCACACCCTCAAATCCACTTTCTAACTAGAGGGAGGCAATGCTGTCACTCTAGAGGTTTACTGTACAACTCAACAAAGTGAAAGAAGCTTTGCCCAGATTCTTTCCAGGCAGTATGGGCCTAAACATAAGCCAGACATGGTCTTCCTAAGCTAACAGGAAGTATGTTTCTTTCTGGGATTGACCAGGGATGACCCAAATGTTTTGGTCTCTATTTTTCGTTCCTTAAATTGCCTGTCCACTGATGTGTTCAAGTCAGAGTCTGTTTGTGACGATAAATCTTGGGAAGCAGAGCCAAGAGGAAGGAGAGTGAATGGTCTCCATGTACAGCCCTGTGACCACTGGAGGTCTTCCTCCCTGCGAGGGTGATGTGTGAGTAGGTATCTGGCTGAAAATATTAATGTTTGAAGTGTCATCATATCCATATTTTAATTCCTGGAAGGAACTAATTTATTCTAATTAATTTAGAATTTATTATTAATTTATTCTGAGTTCCAATACTGCCCTAATGTCTGAGCAACAAAGGATGATTTGTGTGGATAATCCTAGGGAAGCTTTGGTCGTGGCTAGCAAAGCAATCTTGGAACTGAAATTCTTCGGTATCCTTGCTTTGATTCCTTGAAGAGAATTGATACAGACTCCAAGTTTTGGTGAAGCAAAGAATTCTTGCTTCCTTGACTATTTTTCTCACCAGGACACAAAGAGGTATTGACTTTCACTATTAAGACCTTAATTAGTAACCTTGTTTGTGAAATTGAAACAAAGGTCTCACTGAACAGCCTGGTGATCTGGCAAGGGCTGTTCCATGTTCTCTAAAGACCCAGAATCAAGGCTTGCCATGAAATCACTTTTCTTCATGACTAAACTGAATCTCTCTTGCATGTTAAAAGTTAGTCTTTAAAAAGCTGTGCAGTCAGAACATTGCTTTGTCTTACACATTTCCCTGTTACCTGGCAGGCCCCAAATGTTACATAAGCATTCTCCGCAGCTATAACCCCCACTCAGAAGAGGCTTGATTTGTTATTTGCACACATGATAACATGTGACATAAGTAAAGCTGGGAAGATGTGTGTTTGTAAGGGGTAATTTGTGTCTACCAAAGCAAATAGTATTTGGTTTTGCCTAGCTTCCAAACATGGTTTTATAAGTCAGTATATCTTGTGAAACCATTAGGACAAGAGTTTGGAACAAAAAGAAATCTCAGGCTCATTGCAAAGCTTTTTTAATGTTTGCAATTCCCTCCACGTTCTGAGCATTATCATAACGTACTGAACTGTTCTGTTCAGAGACCACTAGGGAGAGGAGATGAGGAACCAGAGCAGCCAGGATGTTTCTCCCTGGGATAAAAGCTCAAGCATTCAGACACCCTCACTGTGGGCTCCACTTCTGTAGCCAGAGGGGATTGGAAACAGCAGGAGCATCTCACATACAGCTTGTAGGAAACACACACGTTTTCCCCAAATATTCATTTTTGCAGTTGGTCCTTGCTGGCCGATCCAGCTTCCCTGTCAGCATATGGTGAGCAGTTCGGTGAGAGGACCACACTTCCAATCCTGGCAGGTACGGGTCCACAAGGACCCTTCTCCCAGGGAACCCTGGCTGCTAGATCTCACAAGGCTAAGGGAACCTGGCTTCTCAACTTCGCTGCTGCCTGTGTTTCTTCCCACCATCCCCTCCCCTCTAATTGGCCCTGTTTTCCGGCCTCACATCTGCCACTGTGCCCTTTCTCACAGGGATCCCAGAAAGTCTTAGATCAGTTACAGCCTGGGATTGGCTTCTAGCCCCAGTAGGAGGCATGGAATTCATCCATCAGGAACTCTTTACTGAGACCCTACTAAGTGTCAGGCATTGCACTAGGCAACAATGATATGAAAGTGAGCAAAAGAAACAGTTCTCTCCTGTGGGGGCTTCTAATTCATTTGTGGCAGACGGTTAAGAAACAAGAAAACAAAATCATAGGTGGGGACGAGTGCAAACAAGGGAATAAGCAACATATTATTCCAAGAAAGTGTAAGTGATACCTACTTTTAAATAGGCTAGGCAGGGGCAGAGAATAGAACAGCAAAGCCTTAAAGCTGGACAGATCTGGACTCGCCCCAGGACAGAAAGGAGGTCAGTGGGCTGAAGCACAGGGAGCAAATCACAGTGGACTTCAGGAAGGATGGAGGGGCGGGGTAGAAGGGAGCCAGGTGTGCAGACCCTGAGACCACCCCCTAAGGAGTCTGGATTTTATCCCAGTGCAGAGGAAATTTACATTCGTGCTTGCAAGTAGATGAGCTGAGCTCATTTTATGAGTTACAGGGGTGGCTCTGGCTGCCAGTGGAGAATGGTTTAGAGGGACATGTGCAGAATGCAGAGAGAGAGAGAGCAGTCAGAGGCCCTAGAGGTGGTCCTGGTGAGAGATGAGGTGCTGAGACCCAGGTGAGTCAGCGAGGATGAGGAAGAGAATGTGTTTGCAGTCTATTCTGGGGCAGAACTGACAGGTCTTGCTAATGGTTTGGAAATGAAAGATAAGAGAAAATCAGGGATGCCTGAGATTTCTGGTCTACAGTTGGGTGGGGGGTGAGAGCCTTAGGTGTTGGGGCCCACTGGTGGGGGAGCAGTTGGAGGGCAGAGTGTTGCTGGCAGATGTGGATGATCTGTGTGGTGGCCCCAGGCCCCTTGCACCACAGCCGCTGGGCCTCTTCACAGCTCTGGCCCTGCTGCGCTCTCTGCCTGATCCCCTGCTGCCCCATCTCAGCTTTCCCATCCCACTGGCTCCTGGGACTCTTTCGAAGGCTTTGTAAGACTTATAGTGAAGGCCTGGCCATCAGGCCCCATTTCTGCCCAGCACCACCTCAGAGACTGCTATACCCAGAGATGACATCTGCCCTAAGAATTTCCCCACATTCTCTTCAACTCCCCGACAACCTCAGATGTAGCTGCTCTCTCAGGCCTTCAATGTACATCTCCACCCAAATGAGTAATATTTGCATTACAAGGAGGAAAGGAGAGGGGACCATTGGGTATCTGCTGTACCAGGGACATTATATGCTATTGTCCTGTTTTCCAGATGAAGCCAGATTCAGAGAAAGTGTAAGTGATGTCTACTATCTGTGAAGTTAAATGACTTGTCCAGGCTTATGCTGCTAGGGAGTGACAGAGATAGAATTTGAATGCACACCTATCTGACTCCACCTCTCATGTTTTTTCCACATGGCCAGCAAGCTCCGCTGTCCCACCTCACACTTCTGGGAGGTGGCTATCCCCTCTTTCTGCCCCCCTTTCTGGATCTTGACAAGGGGTTCTGCCCTGCCCCAGCTGTCAAAGCCTGCGGCAGCTGCCAAAAAACCTCAACACAGGCGTACTTTGGACCTCCATCATGTGTTGATGTCACAGATGCTGTACCAGGCATTTGACTCCTTGATCTAAAGCCAGGATTCCTGGCCAACATGGCGAAACCCCATCTCTACTAAAAAACAAAAATTAGCTGGGTGTGGTGGTGGGCACCTGTAATCCCAGCTACTTGGGAGGCTGAGGCAGGAGAATTACTTGAACCCGGAAAGGGGAGGCTGCAGTGAGCAGAGATTGTGCCTGTGCA